TCAAGATTTAACATTCCCAACACAGCCATAGACACATGACTGCACTGTAGCTATGCAACAATACAATTTATTAATATTCTAAGAGATATCTCTTTGCATGGCACATCAGTAATATACTATTAACAATACCAAAATATGCATTTAGTCACTCAGAGTTACTTTAACCCAACACTATTATTACGCAAAATCGGTTTTCAAAGCAAATTAGTACTTTTACACAAAAACAGCATTGTTCATTACCTTTAGTACGCTATAGATAAGCATTTACCAAAATAATTGTTAGTATACAAGAGACATATAAGTTATCTGATAAAATTTTTTTAAAAAATCTCATAAAAGGGATGTAGTTGTCATAGCTCTAGAAATTAGCACATACCATAAAATAAGAAATAGCTGCTGTAATAAAATAATACAGAAATCAGTTGATTGCTGCTATCCACTTATTCTATCAGTCCACACCAAATCTTATGAAATAATCCCAACACGTATACAAGTTTTATAAAAGAAAATTATTAATATTTAAGGGGGGAGAACAGAAAATATTTTATCCCCCCCCCCAAAAAAAAAAACTAACAATGGTGCATTTAGATGTTATTTATTGTTGGATTAGTCCTTAACATAAAAATAGCACACTTTAACACATGGCCTACTACAACAACAATGATGCAATGCCTGCATTAGGATATTTGCAATCTAAGGCTGTACCTGTTGCACCAGCAGCGATGCAGGCCCAGCATTACTGATACACTACAATTTACACTATAGTATTATTTCTGTCGCCTTCTTAACGTGCCTTCGTAGTGTAGTGGTCTGCATGCTGGGTGCATATTAGAGTCATGGTCAATACCAGTGAAGCATCCCATTTTTATCAGCCTGCTCCAAAAGTATAATGTCTATACAGGCGCCTGAACTAAAAGGGGGTGGATCAGTTCCAGACCAGAATTTGGTGATTGTGTCACCCAAAAACCCCAGTCACCCTTTAAAAGGAGGAGTATATAAGGTATTTCTCCCACCTTCTTAATGTGGTGGTCTGCACACAGGGCGCGTATTTCAGAGGTCCGTAGTGCAATTCCTGCTGAAGGCGTTGCTTATGTTTCATCACTCCTGCTTCCAAAAAAATACCTAATGTATCTACAGTATATTTAATTCACAACGTACTTTTACACATACTAATGAACACATAAATTAAATATAACTTCTATATTTGTCAAACTGCATAGAAATATGACTACAGAATATTAATGCAATAAACTATAGAATACTTTTATATGCTCAATAATAAAGTTTGTTTTATGCAATTTTGTTCTTATTAAAGACTTAAACTAATGCTCCTCCCTTTTTATGAGATAAATTTAAAAAAAATTTTTTGACCTCTGTTTACGATTTTTTGAAGAAAAGTATGACTAATGCTGTGAGACAGAAAAAAATATGATAGTCTAAATAGTCAGGTGTACTTATGTATTTCAAGCTCTGCACACCAGCCAGAGCAGATAACAAACCTTTAATATTGGGGCATGCAACAGGAGAAACTGAGTTCTGATAGATACAAATGATGATCTCTCTCTCCAACATCCTGTTGCATCTTCTACTACTAAATCTTTGGTAATGATGTAGTATGTGATCTACTGCTTCTAGTTAGTTATTTATTTCTTAGTTGGCACCACAACACTATTTTTAAATATAAATAAGAATACATAAATGAAAATTATTCTATAAAATTAATAACCTATTAAATTTTTAATTCCATAACATTTCTTATAATTTTACAAAACGAAAACAAGAATGGCACTTAAAAGGGTTGTTTTTAAGAATTAGTCTTTTACATTATGATTATTATGTAGCATACAAAAAATAGTCATCACTTCTATTAATGTATCTTCAACATGATCTGCAAAAAATTGTGGAAGCAATAATCTAACTAGAAGCAGTAGATCACATAATACATCATTATCAAACCTTTAAATCAATCAGCATCAGTTTGATTTAATTCATCATTACCTAATCTTGAATAACTCACTCAGTTATCTCAGTTCAAAAAAGTAATTACATCATTACGATCATCTCTAACTCTTATCAATACTATGTCATCACTTCTAAGCTTTACTCTTTCTTTTAAAGTTAGAAAGCAATACTTCACAGCAAAAGTATTATTCATGTTTACATCAGTTGCACATTTATCATATCATGTTCTTGTTTTTAGTCTTATTTAGCAAGCTTTATTACTCATTATCTAGGTATGCTCAAAACTTTTCTCCTCATAAATTAATCATAATTACTTGTTCTCTTTATATCATTTCGGTTTATAAGAAATTTTAGAGAAATGTCCTACTTTCATAAAATTGGAAAACATGTACAGTAAAAGCTCAATTATGTGGCATTCAACTAACCGAAAAGCTCACAAAAATGTATTTTTGCATTAAAAAAAAAATAATAATCTTGGATATATATAAAAAAAAATAATGTAAAATTAAGTAAATGAATGACTTGCAATTCCACTATAAAGCAAGAATAGGACTACAAGTCAAATTAAATAAAAAATGTTTCTAAGCATTTTAATTTAAGTGTTGATAATGTTTTGGTTTTATGTAAATCCAATTAATTCTCAATAAGTTGGTTTAATTATTGTAAAAAATGAAATATATGAACTGCTGTTTATCAGTTTTTAAATCACATTTTAAAAAATTCTGATCTGTACATCACGACTACCTTGTACAGAATATTAAATTATATGCATTTTGTGCTCCGTTTCATTTAAACTTATTTCTTCGAATTTCATTAGCAATATATTTCTTATTCAATTAATTCAGTTTTCAACTTATGGCAAGGCAAAAATACATAAAATCTCAAAATATCTTTATTAAAAATTGAAATATATAGAAAAACATAAGACACCAAATACAGTTAAAACAAGTTAATAAATTTTGCAATTAAAATTAGAGTTTCTGCAAAAACAAGCAGCTCGACCAGCAGGCAAGAAGGCAGATTTTTCGGTGTGCGAAACTTAAAGTTTACTTTTGGTTGCATTTGGCAAAAAATTACTGAAGGTGTGGAAACTGACTTAAATCCCTATTCTGCTAAGTTTCAAATGTAAACAAATATCACTGCTATGGTAAAAAAATTAGGCTTTGCCACACTTGAACAACTTTTATATAGTTGATAATTCTGCAACTATTGCACGCAGATTAGTTAAAAGCATACAAACCTTAACCAGAAGATAAGAACATCATAATTCGATCACTTTTAAAGCAAAAAAAAATTCACAATTTACCAACATATAAGAATAAAAAAACTGAGCTCATGGAGCCAAGTAACAGAGTGGGTATATATGCACTCTTTTGCAAAAAATCCTATAGCATAGGAGGGTTTGGTAAAACTATTGAAACTAGTCCTGTGAAAATTTGAAAATATAACGCTGACTTTTTAAATTTAGTTGTTTAAATGCAGCTAAGCTTAATTTTTCTTACCATAGCAGCCATGTTTGTTTACATTTGAAACTTAGCAGAATAGTAAAGTTTAGTCTGATTCGTGCATCTTCAGTTTTTGACCTTTTGTTTGGGACTGAAAAAATTTTTTAGGCGGCTAAATAATTGTTTTTGCGGAGGCTCTAATTTTGTTGTAAAATGTTTTTTTGTATGTTTAACTGTGTTTATGTTTTTTTTTATGTTTTCAATTTAATGAAATCATTTTGGTTTTATATTTTGCCTTGCGGACGAGATTAAATTAATGAGAAATATATCTCTAATGAAATTCAAGAAAATAAGTGTTTTGTATTAGCAGCAAATATTGTTGCCAGTCTGTCTTAGGCAGAGCAAAATGTTTACGAGTAGCGCATGTACATTAGGTAAGCGGTGCTGAATCTCATCAGTAAAAAACTGTTTCTTTTTCATTTAATTTCTTTTATATATTATTTTAGATTTATTATAATATTTGAATAGAACGTGTGGCAATGATAAGATAATTCTTCAGATTATTGTGTATTCTAAGTAATAAAATGAATAAGATGCAACACTGTTAAGTGAACCTAGTGCCACAGCGTTGCTATGGTAAATAAATATAGTGAATTTTAAAGAGTGTATTTATTCTATTGTGGTTTATGCACTACCAATGAAGTAGCTTAATTCAATTCAATAAGTTTAAATGAAGTGCAGGAAAAAATGTGTATCATTTAATATTCTGTACAAGGAAGTCATGTGGTATAATACATCAGATTTTTTTTAATAATGTTTTTCGAAAGCTATATCATCTTTCCTTGACATCAGTTTTCATAAACAGTAACAAGTGTTTCATAACAATGAATGTTTTTTCTATTTTGTGCCCAATCAGGGAAGAAAAAAATATCACAAATTGTAAAAAGGGCATATGTGTAAATTTTTTTAGAAATTACTGAGTTATGGAGGTAGGAGGGATGAATAACTAAAACATTAAAAAAGTGCTGAATTACTTGGACTCTCAGTTACATCAATCTCATAATTTTTTACTGTTGACTTCTGACATTCTTGTGAAGAGTATGGTAAATTTTTATTGCTCCTGTAAAATTTGACTTTTGTCACATAGACCCTTTTTACATCTACCAAATCAAATAAACAGCGATTTGTTCTTTTAAACTTCTATCTGACTGACTGGGGCGAATTTGGCAAGACTGGCGCCAATTTTTATGGTTGATAGAATTTTGAAGTCGAATATGATGTTTTACTTCGGTGCTTATGCCCTTTTTTTCTTTGGAAAATCTTGCACAGTTTAAATATAGACATTTAATAGTCAAATTGATAACAAATAAAATTACTCTTTTTATAATTTTAGACAGAAATTTTGGCTTTCATTTTGCTTTTCTACTGGGAATTGCACTTTTTATATTCTCATTTATCCAGAATTCGGCATTTCCTGAGTTTTCCAGATAGTCAAGCTTTTAGTATATTTAAAAAAAGATTACAGTGAACAACATTCTACATAAAAACTTTACTTTCATTAAAAATAATAATGGTGAAGCAAACCAATTAAACCTTCATATCTAGCTGCTTAAAAGTATTTATTGCTTGAGTAAGTTCTCGAGCATGCAGGTGGGAATGTGCTTTAACCCATAATGATAACCTAAAAAGAAAATTATAATTTAAACAAAAAGAGTCAACATCTTTTCTATAAACAGATATTAATATAACATACCATATAATATATAAAATACAAGATACCAGTTCTAATAGTAGAATTCAGTGTTGCATCATCATCTTCAAGTATACTAATATTTGCTACTTCACCTTTAGCTGGGTACAAGCAAATAACTTGCCAAATACTGTTTCGATCATTATCATTAACATAGCAAACATTTCCTGTCATTCTCTATGTGAGTTTCTAACATTCAATAATTGATTATTAAGTTTCTACGATGCTTAATTATGATGAAAATTTAGTTACCTCCAATGGATAGAAAAATCATACAATTTTTAAAAAAGGCATTTTGCTGAATAATATAGCTTGTATAAAAAATAATTAAATGGTGATGTATTTTGCAGATAACATTAGATTATGCAGTGCTTCTACTTGTTGCAGCAAAAAGAATATTTGTAACTGAACATGGTTCGAAACATCAAGATTAAACTTTTTAATGTTTCTGAGATTCATTTATTGTTGGTGCAAATTCTAAATGATATTAAAATCTTTTAGTTTCCTAACCACAATAAGAAAAGTACTAGCTTTTGTATTTCTGCATGAGTGTATTTACAAATGCTGCTTTGATGTTTGAATTAAATGCTTTTAGTTTCTACAGTCAGAAAGTGCCTTTTATACAATTTATGGTACTATTTCTCATTAAAACAGTATTTTCATTTCTGTATTTAAAATGAAATGAGTGAAAGCTGCTTTTGTTTTATTTTTTAAATTGGATTTTTTTCTAATATGACATCATGGAGACATTTCCATCCCTTAACACAGGACAGTGTAGTGTGCCATTGCTTAAAAAAAAAAAAAAAAAAAAAATATCTTGGCATCATTTGCAACAAGCTAAGAGCAAAGTACCCAGTGTCCACCATAAGATTCCACAATTGAAAGAAGGCTAGGTGATAAACAATTTTTTTTTACTGTTTAATTTGGCCACAAGTGCTGCTGAATGCAGATCAAATGCTTCGATGATGCCTCATAAGAACATATAATGAAATTTTGTTACTTACTTTATATATAAATTATGCATATTTTGAGGGTGCTAAAATATGCATACAGTATGCTTCTGTATCAAATGCCAAAAGATTTAAATTATTATAAATCAAACTTATTAGATCATAATTATAAATCTGATGAACAGAAAAATAGATAATCTGTCTTCTGGAGTGATTCTGGTGAAAGTTTTGTTCTAGCGAGTTTCTGCACTGGTGAGAGAAGCAAACATTTATTGTTACTTATCTGTGTGAGCATATGATGCAATGATTTCTTATAGTTTCCCATTTTTAAAATAAAATGTTTTTTCATGTCTGTTTTAGCTCACGTTTCTTCGGCTAGTCAAAATTTTCATGTTTGAAATATAGTGGTTTTCCATAGCAAATATTTTATGACGCTATTTTCAATCTACCATCAACTCTAATAGATGTTACTTCTTATTGTAAATAGTCTCCCTTGTAATTTTTTTTATTAATTAAAAAGTTTTTTAACGTATTTTATCAATTAAACCTTTGGAATAAGTTAAATAGTGCTTCCAAAAATTATTTCTCAAAGTAAGCAATTTTTTTTTTTTTTTTACATATTTTCATGTAAAGTAAAGGAAAAAGATAACTAAATGCTAATTTTAACACATGCGATAGCTTAAGCAGCAATATAAAATAGTACCAAAAATTATAAAGTTGGGATGTTAACCTTTTTTTTTGCGTGTGTTAGATGCAAAATCGTGGCCTGCGAGATGATTTCTTTCGACTCCCATCTGTCCTGACGGAACGTCTTAAACAAAGGTGTGCCATCTCAAAAGGGTTAATGTATTTATTTGTGTTTCAGTAAATATGGTTTTTTTTTTTTTATTTTCTTGATTAATTTTTTAATTTATTTGTTCAATTTCTACACTTTTTCTAATTATTAGCTAATTGTATTGTTTTCTTTGCTGGGAAATTTTAAATTTTAAATGCTGCTTCCTTTCAGTCTGTAAAACAGAAACCTTGTTCTCATAAGCTGATAATTTTATCATTAAAGCTTTCACATTTTTTGAAGGTTGGAACAATTACAACATTACTCAGTAATATTACTTCCCTCAGTTCCACATAGTTATTGTTGACTTCAGGACCTTTCTTGTTGGTAATCATAGTAACCTATTTTTCATATCATCCTCATAATCAGATTCATTGAAACAATTGCAGCATATTCAAGCATTCTTAGTGCTAACAGTATCGACTGTTCAACATCCGTGCCTTCAATAGTTTCTCTCTGTAAACACTAAATACAAATATACTAAATACAAATTTAATTTAAAAGTATCCACAGCTATAACTTTCAAGTAAAAGAAATCTCTTTCTCTGAAACTAAGACCTGAAGCTTTCACACTGTGAAGCTCTGGTCAATTAGATGAGGGGATGAACCTAGTGATGTCATATAAGAAGAGGGTTCATATGCCATTGTTCTCTTCAAAGGGATGACCCAGCCCTTCTTTTTCTTTAGCCTTTTCATCTCAGCTCAGCCACACTTTATTGAGCCGCAAGGCGACCTCCTCAGGTGAAGCTTTTCTCATCCATCCAGAATTTGTAAAGGAATGGAATCCACTTCGCATCCATTCTTCTCACTGCTTTCGTACTTCATGTTTGAAAATTGTATCGATGGCTAGATCCAGTGGCTATAAAATTTTTTGGGCCCACTTGGTATCATTAGGACATCAGCGCTAAGCTCCTTTGCTTTGGATTTTATCGAATCCACTAAATAGGATCGCTTTGAATCCAGAATGATGAATTTCTGAGGTTTGAAAAAAAGGAAATTCCCTTTTTGATAAATTTTTTCTCAGCCAAAACAATATCACTTCTTCGCATATCTATCCTTTTACATTGATGAAACAAATGCCGCCTTTAGGAAAGTTTCCTTTTAGAACTGTTTTTCTTTTGAAAATTATAAAAGTAGTTAACTTTGGCTACACAACCTAAAACAAGAGTTAAAGAAGGCTTTTCACTTACAATAGTTAATGCAAAAACAGTGTTTTTATCTGCTGAATGAACAGTTCTGCTCAGAGGACAGTCAAAAGTAATGGGCACTTTATCCATATTAATTATTTGCCCTCAATTACAACTTTCTTAGATGTGTACTCCAAAAAAGCTACTTTTTTTTTTTTTGAGCCAGTCCATGGGAAGCTTCAATCCAACTGCTGTTTTGGTCCTGATAGATAATTTCTTACATTTCATGAGCCAAAAACACAAATTAGGTTTTCAACAATGTTTTTAATGCCTATTTCTACCTTTGCTAAAAGGCAAATTCTAACTGTTGACGCTGATAATCCCTTTACTCTCTACTACATTGTCCATTTCTATAAATAGTCTTCCAAAACAGGCTAGGCTACGGTGCCAGTCTAAGAAGATTTTCTATTCTTAGGAATTTTCTCTAATTCTTCTTATCCATCATCAAATGCATCTCTCATCAAACTTGAAGTTCTATAATCACAGCCCAATTTTCAATTTCTATTGCTTTCTTTACTGCTGAAAGCTTAAAAGCAGCTGTATAAATTTATCTTTGAATAGGAAGCATAATAACAATGATAATAAAAAATTCAACAAGCACACAAACAATAAAGAAACACTGCAACAAGTAAGCAATAAGCAAGACACAAAGCAATGATGCAGGTGTAAGAATGAACATGGAAAGGAGCAAAATAAAAGTTCATGTGGTCATTAGCAGAAGATGGACATCAGGAAATGCACACAAAATCATTGGTTCAGCAGTGTACATGCATTAGGCTATCTTTACAATGACTGCACATTACTGAAGTAAGCGAATTTTATGCAAGTTCGAAATACTCAATTGCCTTAGAGCAACCTGAGTGCTTATATCAGGCTAAAATGCTGCAGCAAATTCCACATTAACCATTTCACTTGTGTATAACTTATGACCTAAACTAGTGAAGCTTTACAGACAAAGGAAAAATAAAATTCTTTCAGATATACCGCAGACATAAATTCTCAACTTTTAAACACGTATATGCCACACTCATCTACCCTAAATTAAGGTGCTCAAAATAAGCATCACCAAATATGGATGTCATGGCATGATTAAAATTTTTTGCTGTCACCTAAATACTGGTGGTGCACCAGTT